ATTCGGTGGCGTGGCGTGCTTTGCGATCTATCGATCGATCTGTCATTTGAACCTATGGAAAAGGATCGATAGACAGGGTGTTCGCAACGAACACCTTAATAATCGATTTTTTACCATAGCCTTAAATAGGGGTATATCGATAATCGATCATTCACGCCTCGCCACTGATCTGATTCATTCAAAGGATACATGCGGTGGCTCAATGTTTCACCACCACGTCGATAACATAGCCGGATTCATTTGCCGGAAGCGAGGTTCGAGAAAATTTTCGAAATTTTACAGAATCTAACATGCAGTTTCAGCCAATTTTGTTGTGAATACTTACCAAATGTGAGCGTTCTTCCTTTTTCTTTTGTTCGTCCCTTTCTTCCTTCTTTCTTCCCTTTTTCTACCTCCTTTTTCGGGCGAACAGTGAGGGCGTGGGCGTCCGCTCTCTATGCCCCTATTGGATTCGCGTATGGTCGACAGAATCCCTGAAATGAGAAATAGAATAAGAGACTTTAGGCGTTGCCAAATTTTTTTTTGACTAAATGCGACTTTTCAGGGAATTCTATCAAGGAAAAACGCCGTAAGAGACTTTAGGCGTTGCCAAATTTTTTTCGACAAAATACGAATTTTCAGGGAAAATTTCTGATATTTTTCCTTTAATTTTACTTAGGATTTCATTCACAATTTCCTCAAAATGGACGCATTTCTGCCAAATGGAACTATGTGCATCAAGGCGTGAGCCCTGAAACCCATAAAAGAAATATGCACATTAGGGCTCACGTCATAATACACATAGTTCCGTTTGGAAGAAATACGTCCAAATAATTATTTAATAGAATAAAATTTGGCAACATGTGGATGTTCATACGGCGTTTTTCCATAGCACGGCAGCAGTACCTGCGCATAAAGTTTTTCTTGAGTTACGCGATTCTTGAGAGTAGGGACGGATAAGGCACACGGACGGGGACGGCGCTGGCCGGAGCGGTTATGATAATTAAAGCCGTATAAACTCTGCTACTCATTTCTGCCAAACGAAACTATGCGCATCAAGGCGTGAGCCCTGAAACCCATAAAAATATATGCATATCAGGGCTCACGTCATAATGCACATAGTTTCGTTTAGAAGAAATATTCCAAATAATTGTTTTATAGGATAAAATTTAGCAACATCTGGATGTTCATACGGCGTTTTTCCATAGGACGGCAGAAGTACCTGCGCGTAAGGTTTTTCTCGAGTTACGCGATTCTTGCGAGTAGGGACGGATAAGGCACACGGACGGGGACGGCGCTGAGCGGAGCGGTTATGATAATTAAAGCCGTATAAACTCGGCATGTTAATGGCGCCGGGCGACGTCACCGTCCGATAACGTCTTCATCGAGCAGACATGTCTAATGAGAATGCAGGCGTAAAACTACCCAGTTTATCGGCGCCGCCCGATCGGAGCCAATTGACCGGCTCCTTTCAAAAAGGGTCCAACTACATCTCCAGATGACCCCTCGGATGTACAAGAATACTAGCCTCTCGTGGCTCATCCGAATCGTGGAATTGTTCGTTTTTTGGGAACGACTCGTTCAATTGAACCCGGTGACTGTTATGACAGGGCGAAACAAAATACTGGCGGCCGGCATGGTGCCGGGTCCGCGCAGTGTTCCGTGCCCAGCGCCCCTGCCCGTTTTCCTCCGCGAGATCACCCTTCCCCCCTGTCGCCCCCACCCCGGGGCCTGTTCCGATCCTGACCCCAACCCCGGCTCCAGAACCCGCGGAAACTCATTCAACCGAAGATATTCGCTGCCTCAATGGAGCTCCAACATGTGTCCGGGACAGAAACTGTATTTATTTAATAAATGCACCGGGAGAAAATAGTTGAGAAACTTTTTTGTATGCATGTATACGGTAGTCGCTTTTATAGCGTACTGGGTTGCTTTGCGAGTTTCGACACCTAACCGCTTCTGGAATCTGTTGAGTTGAGATTTTCCGATAGCTAGAATTTTTCCATCTCTCTTTGGATGTTATATTCACCTTTCAGCTGGATGCCGCGCCCTCTACGACGCATACATACGTGGATGACTATTTTTTAATTTAAGAGGAAGTGTTAATTAAGGATATTGTATTTGCCTCGATAGACGCTATTAGTGGCGATGTCATCATAGGGATTCTCCATTATATCGAATTGGATCCAAACAATAACATTGGCATAACCTCTTTCAATGCTACCAATGCGAAAAAATCTATATATATCGCTTTTCTGTGACGTGGCACTAATGTCGTCTATTGATTTTCATTTAAAAGAAAATTTATTTTACTCAGAGAAACTTTTTTTTCACTAAAAGACAGTTATTTTTAATTCAATTTTTTTAAAAGTGAAAAATCCAAAGGAAATTGGTTTTCCCATCATACATTTCTTTGAAACAAAAAAATCTCATTTTAATACAAAAAATTTTTTTAATCCAAAAAAATCTTTCAGGAGGAGTAGTTTTTCCTCGACTAAAAAAACTAATCAAAAAAATGTTTCTGAATCAAAGAAGGCTTCTGAATCGCATCTAAAAACTTTTCCAACAGCTTTTTTTTTCATGAGGCAAGGTTGCAATTGGATTGCATTTTGCAAGAAGGAACCAGGAGCATTGCAATGTTGCTGAAATTGTGCAACCTCTTTTGTCTTGGAAGAAAAACCTGATTATCCATTAACAGTTTCTATTTTACTCGCTGAAAACTGTAAATTTAAGGCAAAAATTATCATGTAAATTTCATATTTTTCATGGTTTCAGTAATTTTATTGTAAAGGATGAAGTTGCACAATCTTAGCACCATTGGAATGCTTCTGATTCCTTTTTGCAAAATGCAATCCAATTGTGATTCAAGCAACATGATCGGGTCGATTACAATCTAAGTTCGGGAATCGATGCTATTTTTCTCGACTAAATGCGCACCGGGACTTTTGGATCACTCTTCATGAGAACCGTCTCTCAGAACCGAAGCTCAACCTCAGAAACGTATTTCACTCTGACTACCGTGGTTCCACCACTGTGCGCCACCTCCTCGAGGGAAGTTATGTGCATAAGCATGGTGGAGTACTCGGTGGAGGGTAAGAGAAAAGGCGATCTGCATTGCGGCACAGGCTAACTCCCAACGAAGATCCTCAGTGCGAAAAAACACAAATTCTGCCAGTGTGACGACGCCGCCATCTGGTGTGAGTAGTGCACTCGCATCTGTTCCCGAAACCGGAAGCGATGTTATCATACATACATCTAATTATTAGTTATTTCACCTCTATTCCCCACTCGCTGGATGATGTCCATTGCTCCCCTCTTACTCACTTCTGTTATCATTCCTCCGTATTCACCATTGTATATAAATCGACAATTGTCTCTGTCCAGATGATCCTGTTGAAATGGACCAGTAGACAAGCTATGACTTAAAGCATTCTGATGCGTTTATCGTAATCAAAATTTACGCAGAACACGATTCGGACTAAGAAAATTACTGGAAAACTAAGATTTAATGTTTTCTAGCGCGTCACTTTAAACTTTCACGTCACGCGTGAAATAACAGTAGTCTACGGGGGTCAAATCGCGCACTGAACGTTACCGTAGCAGTCTCTGCGGTATTAAAATGAGGCCACCTCAGTTTCAGTGCTTCGGCTCAGCATCTGCACGTTGTTAAGAGATATCAGTGCGGGGCATCTAAAATGTATTTCCTCTAATGTTATAAAGAAACTTTATGTAAACAACAAAAGAACACTGAGGAACGTTGCCCGAACTGTATGTAACATTGTCACAAGGTGGTAAAATAGCGCCGGGTCCGCATTACAAACAATTGAACTTCAAATTGTGATTAGGAACTGCAATTTCTGACTCGTCCGTCGTGGAAACACTTGGATGCATTAGGATGAGGGACGTGCATTACGCATGGACCCACGTAATGCACACGTAAACAGCTCTGTTTTACCATCTTGGATTTCATGTATTCCTACACTGAAAAAAAATTCTCGGCGTTTTTACCAAGGTCCGTTGGTGCCTTTACCATCTCACTTTTTTTTACCAATTCTTGGTAAGTTTACCAAGACAGACCAGTAAATTTACCTAAAACCCGGTATTTTACTGTTTTTTTTCAGGTAAGAATACCGCTTTTATTGGTATTCAATTCCCGGTAACTTTGCCATTTTATCTTGGTAATTCTACCACAGTTGATAAAAAATAGTGGCATTTTTACCAAGGTCCAGTAAAATTACCGAGAAGGTTCAATAATTTTACCGAGATTTCTCGGTAATATTACCAATTCCATAAATGGTAATTTTACCAAGAAAAAACTGGGATCAAATAGAACCCTGAATTCTTGGTAATTTTACCCTTTTCTTAGTAAATACACCAAGATTTGTTTTTCAGTGTACGTGGGTCAAATCGCGCACTAAACGTTAGCGTAGCAGTCTCAGCGGTTTGAAAATACGGCTACCTCAATTTCGGTGCTTCGGCTCAGCTGTTGCACGTTGTTAACACATTGAATAACACGAGGTGGGAAGGGCAATTGCTCGATTGAGAAGTCTGCCAAGACCGTTGTAGTGCGTGATTTTGATTCAAGGAGACCGATTCTCATCGGTCTATATGACTGGTCACCAGTCATTTGTCATCAGTCATCATTTGGCGAATCTAAGCAGTGATTTTTACTCCTAGGAAGATATCGTCACCTTCCAGGCAAAGTATCACAAGCGCCATGCGACGTTTAAAAATTTCGTTTTATTATCATTTCGTTAATACCGCCATTTAATTTTTTTACAGAGAAATTGTTCAACGAAGCTGTCCGAAAATTTCACTGAATTTTCTTTGTGCTGCCGATAAAATTTAGTGAAATTTCCAAACAGATTCAACCAACAATTTCTCAGTAAAGAAATAAAATGGCGGCGGAAATTTTTAAACGTCGCATGGCGCTTGTGATACTTTGCCTGGAAGGTATGACGATATCAGTGCGGGGTATTTATATTGTTAGTATCTAATTTTGTTGTTGTTTTTTGTTGCAGTCGGATATAGTTCACCAGTCAGTTTACGAGCTAGTCCACTCGGAAGACCGGGAAGAACTGCAGCGGCAGCTCATGTGGAACTCGTTCCTTCCCCCGGAGTCCTCCGGGATCTCTCTGCAAGATGCTCTGCTTCCAGACCAAAGTCACCTTCTCGAACGAAGTTTCACCGTTCGGTTCCGCTGTTTACTAGACAACACTTCAGGGTTCCTTGTAAGTTTCCCACCTTCACTCTTATTTTCACCGCCGCACTGTGGATCGAGTCAATGGAAGATGTCGGACATGAAATTTTTGACAAAAATTGTAAAATTTTACGTTTATCTCATCACAATTTTAATTTTAAGGGGTGCTATTTACAGAAAATTTTACGAGCAAACCAATGAAACTACTTTTAAAACATCAAAATTTCACATTAATGAAGATATACGCTTTTAAAGTTTTTAAATCATGTCCGAACTCTCCGATTGACTCGATCCACTGTGCGTCGGCGGAAACACTGCAGATATTGACACAATGTCGTGCATATTGCCTATCTACTAATGGAAGGGAATCCTCCTCTTTCTTCAATCCTCCACTGAACTTTTTTGCGATAAAATTAAAAGAGCCTTGTTAAAAATGGGTCGAAATTCGCCCCTTTTTAGGCCCTCGATTTTGCCAACGGGACTTGCGCCAAATTGTTGCATATGATGCCCCTGGTCTCAGGTAAAAATTTCAGCTTGAGTTGAAAAGCGGTTTCGGAGATACGGGGGGGGTGAAGTGGGGGAGTTGAGCGGCTGGCGTGCGCTCTTTCCGCGGCTGTTCCTCGCCAAATCTTCGTTTTGATGTCACTCATTACATGTTTTCTTATGTAATTTTTTGCGTACTTTCCATTTCTGACCTTAAAAATTACTTACAACCACTTCTCAAGGCGCTAGGGGGTGAAAATAGGGGTTGAACGGCTGGCGGCGCGCTCTTCC